TATTATTATTGCTTTGAGCCATGTTTTACAATTAATTTAATTTAATTTTCGTAGCACTCTTAAAGTTCAAATTATTTTTTCAACAAAATTACTTATCAAACATATATATTAATTTATAAAGATCAACAAATTGAACTAATAAATATTGTCACGTCATAAAGTTTGAGAACCACTCAAGCGCTTGAGGTCCTACAGGTAAGTTATTCAGATTGTCTTTCATTAAAATCAATCAGATGCTTATTATATTGCATTGTAACGGTTTATGTTCGACATATAATAGTATGATCTAAGAACACATAGGTATTTAAAATACCTATGGATTGTAAACCTGCCTCTAAGCACTATTTTACAAATAGTAGAAATGAAACAATATTAGTAAAATGATTCGGTTTTTATTATATTATAAGTAATTATTCGCTTAAACTCATGTCGACGTATTTTCAAAAATATGTATAGTTTCTTACTTAGTATTCTGTATCGATGCAATCAAAGGGTAAGATTGTTTTTCATAGTATGGTTTTTATCTGGAAAATATTTTGATAACAGTACACCATTACTAAGTCGTTTTATTTGTATATCCCGATATAGATTATAAATTATATTTACACATAGTTTTAGAATGATGAAGTTTTCTCAAACTCAATAAATGGAGAAAATTAGCAAACATAGAAAGTTACACTAATTTTAATGAATCGATTAATTGTTGATACATTTGTTCGGTACGAACAATAAAACTCTCAAACTAAGTATTTTCAAGAATGTTTTAACTGATTACGTATCGTAAATTTAAACATTTTTATATTTATTCATTGGCATAGTTAGTTATTAATATTATTAGATATGACCTGTAAATCGTTAATCTTTATGTGCATGCATTTAAAGACGATATAAACCATATAATAAATATTATATAAATATATATTTATTATTGTGATTTTCAAGTTGAAGATAAGCAATCTCGATATACAATTAGAATTTGAAGCTGCATTTGGTCATTTTCGTAATGTTTGTAGATAACATTTTATGTTAGATAACAGACATTATTCTGCATGAAGATGATGAAAGTTGAACGGTGATAAAGATACTAAAGATGTAAATAATATTTGCCATGAACACATCATACACAGTGCGTATAGATATCTATATTATTAATGTAGCATATATATACGCAGAACATTGCGTCGAATATTACAAAGATTATAGTCGAGTATCGACATAGGTCGCCATATATGTTACTATACATCGTCATATATTAGCATATAGTTTATATGAAGTGCGTCATTCGGTCTAGGATACGAAGCAAAAGAAGACTCAAATATAAATAAAATTCTAATAATTCAATAGTTATACGCACTGTGTGTTCCGTGTTACGTCCTTCATGTTCTGTAAATTCTAGTCGCATAATACGTCACGAAGTTTGTTGTAAAGGATATAATGTAAGATATTGTGCACTTCGTATATCTGACAATCGAGCATGCACGTCATCAAAGTACATCAAAATATTCAAAAAGAAGTGATCGCAACGCTTACAGGAATGCAGAATCTGAAAGACAATACAAGGTCAAAAGGGTCAACAATTAATATTATGGAGTAAAATACAAAAATAAAAATAAAATAAAACAAAAATATAGTGAAAAGTTTTGTATTTTGAATTTTTGAGATTTGATTCGATTTGTTTTGTTTTATTCTTTAATATTAGTAATCTTTAGCCGAATTATTTTGGCGTTGGATGTGCGTATATGAGATTTCGATGAGACGACACGGAACGATAAAATTTTTATTATTATTATAATTATTTTTGTAAAGCCGGCGACATTGAGTGATATTGCAATACCGCGAATATGTTCGCGCGCGTATGTCGTGTGTGTACATATTTGTGAGCTGTGTCGTATGCGTTTGTGTTTGGTCGATGTGTGTATGAGTGTGAGTGATTGAGTGAGTGATGTGTGTGTGCGTTATCACGCGCGATGGAGTTCAACCGGCCTCGACGACTTTGCCGGGTCGAGCGAGACTGTGAGCGCTGGCGACACCGCACTGTGCCGTATAGCGCGCGGCGCCAACGAAGTACCGCGGCCAGACCGCGCCGATGCCGCGTGTCGATATTCGCTCGACCGACCCCGCTACGTGCCACCTGGGCCCGGGCTGTCGCTACGCTGTCGTCGCGACGACGGCGTAGCGGATGGGTCGCGGAGCCGGCGTCTGCTGGCACAGTTCACGCACCGCCGGCGCGACGCTTTGCGCGCGCGTCCTATTCCGCCCGGTCGTTTCGTTTTGCGCCGCGCGCTATACGGCACCAGTGCGGTGTACGCCAGCGCTCACAGTCACTCGATCAGTCGACCGGCAAAGTCATCGGAGGCCGGTTGAACTCCCATCGAAAGCGCGTGATAACGCACACACACACACACACACTCACTCACTCAATCACTCACACACTCATACACACACACTCATACCAAACTTACAAACACACACTTAAACACGACACACACACACACACATGCTCACAAATATATGTACACACACACGCACGACATACGCGCGCGAACAGAAATATTCGCGAACGACGCGATTAGTGCGCTCGTCATACGCCGGCGACGTGTTATACCGGTTTGTGAAAAAAAAATAATAATTATAATAATAATAAAAAAAATTTTTATCGTTCCGTGTGTCCTCTCTATCGAGTGCCGCCGTGTTACACGCACACTCCAGGCGCCAAAATGAATTCATATAGCTAAGGTATAATATTAAAGAAAAGAATAAAAAAAAAAAAAAAAAACAAAACAAATCGAATCAAAATCACATAAGAAATTCAAAATACAAAAACGTTTTTCACTATATTTTTTTTTTTGTTTTTATTTTATTTTTATTTTTTGTATTTTATACATAATAATTAATTGTTATTGTTTTTGTTGTTATTGTCTTTCGAATGTGCATTTTGCAAAAGGCGTTGCGGATCAGCTTCTTTTTTTTTTTAATTATTATTATTTATTTTGATGTGTGCATGCTCGGTGTGTCAGATTAGTACAAGTGCAAACAAAATCGTGTTACATTATATCCCTTTACAACCAAACTTCCGTGATATTTTATTAGCCGGTACTAATGGTGTTACGAAAAGGAATTTCGCGAAGGACGATAACTACTAACACACAGTGCGTATAACTATGTGATTATTTTAAATTTTATTTAATATTTGTAGTCTATTTTTATTGTCTGTAATCCGTGAATGACGCACATTCATATAAATATATATAATATATGTGTATGTGTATATATCGGCGTACAATGTCGATACTCGATAGCAAAATCGCTGTTCGACCAATGTTCGCAGATATATATATATATATATTATATATGCATATAAAATGTACCGTCTACTATAGTATATGATGTTCATTTGAGGCAAATATATATATTTACATGTTGTAATCTTTTATCACACGTTTTCAAACTTTCATCTTCTTATCACTGAAATAAAATGTATGTTATCTAACATAAAATGTTTAATATCTACAAACATTACCAGAAAATATTTAAATGCAATGTTTTTTTTCAAATTTAATTTATATACGAGATTGTTTATCTTTCAACTGAATAAAATCACAATAATAAATATATATATATATATAATATATATATATTTGTTATGGACATGTACGTCTTTAAATTGCATACACATAACGCCAGTTAACGAGAATTTACGGAGTTCATTACTCTATAATAATATTAATAAAATTATACTATGCACAATGAATAAATAGTAAAAATGTTTTAAAAATTTTACGATACATTATTACAGTTAGAAACATTCTTGAAGATACTTTTAAGTTTGAAAGTTTTTTAATTGATTTCGTACCGAACAAAATGTATTCAAAAATAATCGAAATTTCATTAAAAATTAGTGCTAACTTTCTATGTTTTGCTAATTTTCTCCATTTAACGAGTTTAGAATTGTCATATTTCTAAAATATTATGTGTAAAATATAAATTTATAATCTATATCGGGATATAAAATTAAAACTGACTAGTAATTGTACTGTTATCAAAAAATATTTTCCAAAATAAAAAACCCATACTATAGAAAAAAACAATCACCCTTTTGTATGCATCAGAATCTAAAATTTAAGTAAAATGAAACTATACACTATTTTTGCAAAAATACAGTCGACATTGAGTTTAAGCGAAAACCAATTACTTATAATATAAACTATAAAACCGAATACATTTTTACTAATATTATTTTCATTTCTACTATTTGTGTCAAATTACTTATTTGGGCATGGATTTACAAATCCATATATTTTTTTAAATACTTTATGTGTTTTAAATCATATATTATAATACAGTCGAACTATAGAAAGCCAAGGTTACAAAATAATTATAAGTCATCTGATTGGTTTTAAGTAGAAAGGACTCGCGAATACTTACCTGTAGAACACTCTAAGCCTTAGTGGTTCCCAAACTTTATGACAACGTGACCAAAATATTTAATTGATTCAATTTTGTTGATCTTTATAAATTAATAATATGTTTAAATAAAATTATTTTGACAAAAAATAATTTGAAACTTTAGGTGCTACGTAAAATTAAAATTAAAATATATTATTAAATTAAAAAATAAATAAAATTACGAGGTTTTACTTGTCTAACAAATTGAGAACCGTTATTCGTAGTTCATTAATAAAGATAATGTAAAAATTAAATAAAAATAAATTATATTCGTTTTTTAATTATAAATTGATTAAAAAAATTTAAATATCTTTTTTGTTCACAAATTTACATATATATATATTACATAGGCAATGTTGAATTTGGAAAGGCAACATAAAAATTAAATTAACACGATTGAATTATAAAAAAATAAGAAAAAAAATTAGTTTAAAAAGTTTTAAAATATGTACTATATAATTTTTTTCAATATTTAAAAAAATTTACAACAGTTTAATTTTCAAAAATATTTTTAACACAATTTCCATATTTTATTCATAAAAATTTTCTATACAAATTTTGTTGACTAAAATACTTCACTGACAAAAATTTAAGTTTTTATAATATTTTTATCGTCATTCTGGGACATATTAAAATAAATAAAATATTATCAAAACAGAGTTAACAAGTTGAATCAATAGTTTTTTGGTAACGAGTACTGTGATTAAATATTAGAAATTTGTGTTTGAATTCATTTTATATGTAGATCGAAAATTAGTTGAGAATTGTCATTCAATAAATATATAAAGTCGGCTCAAATAAAAATAAATGCATGATAAATTGAGTGTTCATAATAATTCATACATAAAATTATTTCATAGGACGAGCGGGTGAAGGATTACATTAAATTTAAGAGAAAAGATATATATATATATATATATATATATAAAATAAACGTTCTACAATATAGTAGGATACTGTACTTAAAATAAGAGTATGACCATCCGACCAGATGACCGATAAGCAATAATAATGAAAACGTGTTTTAGTCAATATAACTTATTATTTGATTACTATAAATTTATCGAAAGTTGAACATCAATACTAGCTGAGAAGAATAAATTACCATAAACCAACTTTTCAATGATTTTACTAGCCTCTGCAATACATTTCCTACTTTTTTGATTCAATTTAAAAGATTTTTTCCTTAAAATAAGTATAAACTCGAAGATTTTTTTTTGGATAAACAGTTACATAATCACAGATTTTAAATTATGTAATATGTAGTAAACATAATATTTTACAATAAAATTAAAATTGTTTAGCATTGATTGCATTCTTCATAACTCGTTTTGTTCGATCATAGAAGTTTCGATAAAGATTTCAACAATCAATAGAATTAAAGTTAATTTTTATCTGACTAGAATTCTACCTTAGAAATAATGATAAATGGGAGGTGAATAGAATAACATACCTATTTATAAATTATTTGTTTAAAATAACTCATAATTTACATAATATTATTATTTACTCATTTACTACAGCTTTATAGATCAACACCTAAAACAATATTTACAAGAAAACAATATATACTACATAAACAGAGTTAACATTTTTGACTGAAAATTAAATTTGATCTAATGATAACCTAATTTAAACTAACTTTAAAAAGAATATTATGTATGGTTCAAACTTATGAATACTATACATTTTACTAATAACGTTATTACAAACACTTCAAAAAAAAATTGTCAATATCTTCTCTTCAATATAATATATTATCACCGTTATTTATTTAATATTAAAAAATAATATAAAAATTTCTATTATTTATAAATAAAAACCAAATTATCACTTATATTATATTATATTATATTATAATATTGTATTTGGTTGTTAATTTTAAATTATACAAATGTTTTCATTATTTTCATAATAACTTTTTATTGATTCTTTATATTACACCTCTTTAATTCTTGAGTACAATAAACCAATTAACGAGTATACAAATATACAATACATACAATATATTGAGTTGAATTAAAAATTAGACAATACCTGAAACATTCTGTACATAAATTGTATCTATATTTTTAACTTCATAAATTATCTAAAAATAGTATTTCATTAATGAGATTAAAGTAAATAAATATTTCACTATGTCGTAATAGTAACTGTTTCATAATGACTATAGGTCGAGTTCAGTGATAAAGTATTTATTAGTGTATGTTTTTTACGATGATCGATTCGTAATTATTTTTATAGTATAGTAACGATCAAATTGTCAATTGATTGCCGAATCCTGAACTAAACATTTTTTTAATCCGTTCACTTATTAATTTTTCTACAACATACTACATGTGATACTATCTGGTGTTTAATGTGAGCAGTAGGCGGGTGCTATATAGATTAATCGGTAATTAAATATATTTTTAATTAAATTTTGTTCTTTTTTGTCAGATTATTAAAATAAATAGTATAAATTATAACCAATTATAGTAATTATAGTATATAATTAACATCGACAATCATAATGTTAATAATTAGTTTTAAAAAGCCTCATCAATGCTTTTCTCAACGCGAGTGCTAAGATTTTTTAATTCATAAGGTCAGCGAGAAATGATTAAATCCAAGAAAAATTGTATTTATCAAACTGCACGTAGCCACATTAAAAATTATGAGTTCGTTTTCAAATGTGTTGTATAAATACCATTATAATTTATAATGATTAAAATAGGATAGGTTAAGATTGTGTTCTGTGTGTATTGTATTTGTATAATAATCTAAAGTACCACCATAGTTTTCTATTTATCATTAAAATAACGTACAAATATTGACTTTTCGGTGGTTTAATAAAATATTGTTATAGATTCAAATAAATGTTTTATGATGAGAGCGATGGAAATATGTACCTATATACTTTATACTATATGAACAATATACACACACCTAGACACTGATTATCATTAAGTCAACGGCCATATTGGAGAATTATACAGAATTACGCACTGCCCGTGATATCATAAGGTTACAATTTAAACGCACGTCAAGCTAACTGTAGGTGGTTTAATCGTACAATTGTCAATTGTACACCCGATCTATAAAGAGAACGCAGATAAGAAATGTTCGTGGCGATAGGTAGGATAGGAAGTGAAATATGAAATATATACCATAAAGATATCGAAAACAATAAATAAAAATGGCCGAGACACTTAAGTGATTCAAAATCAATTATGACGACCTCGTATGATTTTACCGATTTTAGTCCATATTATACATATTATGCTGTTTTTGTAAAATCGTGATCGTGAGTGTAATTTCACAAACAGGTCGGTTCACTCGTCGTGTTTAGTGTCGAAAAAATACGTTTTTCACTGCCGAAACATACTATATTGATTTAAATGTTATCACTACTATACATATTATAATATTATTATTTATTTTTTAAATATTATTGATCAATTATGCATATTATATACCTACACGTACCTTGTCGATTGTCGAATAAGTCCGCTTAATGTGATATTCAAAGTGTTTATGGTTCGATTCGGTATGATATGTTTGAACAGAAGCCTCGTGGGGGAGGTCGCTTTGGGTGACACGCGGCGGTTTCCCAAGGGAAATCCAGAAAAGTATATACACACGGTACACGTAACGTGCGTGTGCTTTTGCGGCGCATCGTGTACATCGTAATATAATATATGTACGACATAAGTTAACGCGTGCTTTTTGTCCGTTGTGCAGGCTGTCTCAGACATGGGAAGCGAGCACTACTGTCTCCGGTGGAACAATCATCAGAACAACCTACTGGGCGTATTCAGTCAACTGCTCCAAGAAGAGTCCCTCGTGGACGTGACGCTCGCCTGTTCGGAAGAAGGCCGACTGATCCGCGCCCACAAGGTCGTATTATCCGCGTGCAGCGCGTACTTCAAGGCACTGTTCCTGGACCACCCGACCCGGCACCCGATCGTGGTGCTCAAAGACGTTCAGTTTTCTGAACTCCGCGACCTGGTCGAGTTTATGTACCGGGGCGAGGTGAACGTAGACCACAGACAGCTGACCACCCTGCTGAAGACGGCCGAGAGCCTAAAGGTCAAGGGGCTGGCCGACATGGCTCGCCCCAGTGACGGCGACGACGACACCGTCGGCGACCGCGTCGAGCTGGTGCCCGCCGATCGGGATGACGAGCCCATGGAACCGGAAGACCTGCGGCCGTTGAGCCGGTGCCGGACGCCGGTGCCGGTCGAGAGCCGTACCCCGTCGCCGCCGCCCACCGAGAGCGACGACAACCTGTCGATGCAAAGCGAACCCAGCGACATGACCACTGTCTGCAGGCACGACGACCAACCGTCCCCGTCCGGTTCCGGTCTGCCGCCAGTTCAGCAAGTACCTTTGGTAAGCATTTTTTTTTTTATATATATATATGATATACACGCATCATACAACACTCGCATACATACCTGCTCGTCGTAATATTATTATATTATATACGTATAATATAATAAACTCGTACCTATATTGTGTGCTTGCCGAAATTGTACTTTCCAATTTTTTGTCGTCGGCTCTGGCTCTGGTATCGGCGAAATTCCATTAAATTAATTTTGACGTGTATACAATAAGCGATATTTCTTTTTTATTTAATGCGTTGTAGACACGATGCACCGCGGTTACAAACATAATACGTATATTAATAATAACAAGGTCTCGAACGCAACACAATTTTCGACGCTGATAATAATATTATTTTCATAAAAACTTCGTGTAAGGCGTGTAAGGAATTATATTCTTTTTCATTCGGTCGACTTTCTTAAAATCGATCGTTCCCTTGGAGTTATATGAAGAGTATAAAATCCTCGTCGTCGATCAAAGGAACTCATATCTACCGGTATCTGTAATTGGATTACGTTGACAAATATATCAGATGATAATTTCATTCGTTCAAAATAGGTGACCCGTAAACTTCTCGGATTACGTTTAAGAACGATGCGTAAAGATGAGAATATTCGAAAACAATAACATTCGATCTCAGGTAGGTAAACATTTAATGTGTCGAGAAATCGTAAACACTCGCGGTTGTATTTTGCTCGTTCGCGCCCTCCAAAGTCTATTTTACACTGCTTCCGTTATTATATACCTGAACGTGTCAAGGGTGTCAATTTTAAATCTGTAACACGTCATGACTTTACTGCTATATATTTTCAATACAATGCGGCACTCCAATAATTCTACGATGTGTGTGTTCGTGTGCGCGGGCGGGCGCATGTGATAATTTTAGTTTATTTTAATAAAATCATAATACGAATTACGTGTCTCAATATTATAATAGTCATTTTAATTATAAACTATAATAAACATTTATATTTTTTCCCCGAAATTTAATATTTTGTACCTATATTCGAATAAAATATAAATAACGGATCAATAACACTCAACAAATCAAATTTAATGGTCTTATAATAATTGATTGCTAGATGACCGTACATTTTTCTGAGTTTACAGAATATTGAATAAAAAATTATCTATTTATTCGATTTTGTTAATAATGAACAGGTCTGAAAATGTATATATTGAGATTATCGGTTAAAGAATTCCCATTTATTTAGAATAAGGCTTTAATAATTTACCTAACTTTTATGTTTTCAATTTAGGATATATTTATATTATTTATATTCTGTTTTTTTCACTGTTATAATAACTAATTTTTAAACTTGAATGTATACTACTTTTTCTCTCTCTTTTTTTTTTTTTTTTTATCAAAAACCACTTTTATGATAAATTACAAATTAAATTTTTTTTATGACTTGATAGAAAGTATTTACAAGTACCTATCTCAATGACAAAAATACAAAACTACCTATTTACTTATTATATTGAATAAATTACCTAAATATTTAAAGGACGAAATCATATTACAATAAACTTATTATGTATTACCCATGAATCTATTATAAATATCATTGAATTGACAATAAAACTAAAGAAAAAGCATCATTTTGAAATATAATATATTAAATAATAATTCTAAAATTCATTGATACTTTTAAAATAGTTTTTGTACGATTTCATACAGCAGATATAATAAATGTAAAATCGTCATAAGCATAACATTTTAAAGACTTCAGTTGAACTTGTGTAGCGATTGATATAATCGTTTTTAGCAAGAAAATAATAACATACATCATTTTTTATATTATAGTAATAAAATGTTTTTTGAAGCAATCTTGTTATAATAATTATTTTAGATGATAGCAGTAAACTTTTGATTTTAAGTATTCCTCAAAAAATTTTCATAATTCTATACTATAATCAGATATACATTCCGTTAATATTTTCTATTGAAGTATATAGACATAATAAATTCATTTAATTGTTCCACGTTAAAAATTAATTCGTTAAGATTATCTTTAACTGATTAACATGTTAAATTAGTAAGCATATTTCAAAAGTAACTACTCATATAGGTAACAAATTATAATACTATGCAAGAATGAATTTAGACTTAACTTTCAAATCTATTTAAATCTTGAATACTGAGTATATAATAAACATTAAATTTACTTTTTTAGTAGTAAATTATAAACAATATCAGTATAACCAGTGTTAATAGTTAGTAAAATATAATATAAATGTTTGAAAAATACAAACTATGACCTAAATAAAAATAAGATCTCTTTGTCTATTTTATATAATTCATTATAAAAATAATCACTTAAATATTATGGTTTATTTTTTTTAACATATTTACATTTTTATTTCATTCAAATAAGATTTATAATATAGGATATATCTGATGGGTTTTTTGTTTAATTTTTTAAATATAATTCTTTATCTACGTGTAAAATCATTTAAATTTTACCTGACTTATAGACTTGTATAAGGAGGACTTCAACTCTCAATTATTATTTTATGATAATTAATTTCATGATTAGCTTTATGTTATAGTAACGTAGTTACTCATAATATGTACACTTAGATTGAAAACGGCATATGTTTTAGTAATTTTGATAGATAAATATACAATATTCCATTAGGTATTGATAAACTAATGAAATTATGTCAACAACTTGAAATTACCAGCGTGCACATTGTAAACGATATACATTTTTGTTATTTTGTTGTGATTTTAAGAATAATAATGATGTATTTAGTCATTTAGGTATGCTATGTCTGTATAATTTTATCAGTTTATGATAGTAAATAATAAATAATTTTTAATATTTTGTATTTTAAAGCAAGGAAAATATTATTAATTTAACTTACAAGTTTATTTTTTTTTTTTTTAATATTAAGTTCCAGCACAGAACTTTTTACAAACATCACTACCACCATTGTATAGAATTTATTGATCAAAATCGAATGTAGTTGGCTTTTTGGAATCTGATTTCTCGGTATTTTCATGTTTTATGTTTCCCCGATCATAATAAAACATTTTTGGTAACTTTTATCAATAAATTTTGTTAATGTCTTAGAAATAGTTTTAAGCACAGAATAATTTTTCAATACAATGATTTATCATTACTTTTAATTTGTGCCATTATCACTTACCACAATACCATCAGTATACTGATTCACTCTGAAATAAGTGAAACAAGATGAGTTCTTAATATACTAACCTTGTTCTTTGTATCCTGCATATTTTGAGTAATTTATTAATCAATAGAATTTGTAATTTTAAGTATCAAATCTCGACATTTGAATACAAAATTACTTTACCATATTAATTAAAAAATCAACTAAAACGCAGTAAATGTTGAAAACCTGTATTCAATAAATATTAATTTTTAAAAGAAATTTACATTTTTGTAAAGTTGCTTGTACCAATATATTATGACCAGAATCATTTTTCTAATGTGAAGATTAATTTTGAATTAAATAAATATAGATATAATAATTATACAATACTATGGGGCATAGAGTAAACTCGTGCAAGTGCCAATATCATTTATTTGTATTTTATATGCTTAAATAAGTATTGGCTTGTATGTTTAAGCATGAACAAATTTAACGAAATCGATAACTTCATTTTAACTTTTAATAAAACCTCATGTGCCTTATATGTATAACAATGTAATAATAATTTATCTATGTATATATTTAATATTAAAGTATATATATGTATGTAGATCTTAAATAAGTATTATTTTTATTTATTATATTTTAATCATAAACGAAGGTTGCTGTTAAAATTATTATTAAGTACCTATACATTTTATTTAAAACAAAATAAATAATTTTTACTTCGTAAATAAATAGAATTATTATAAATTAGTTTTAAATACTCTCAATAAAATAGTTAAATATATCAATATTACGTAATATTATATCGTATAATATATGTAGTTTTACACTATTTACTATGGTTAATATAGTTTTTAAATGTTAAAAGTAAATGATAATATATGCATAATTGTTAGGTGTAAAATGTTATTTATCTATCAAGTATTATATTTCTAATCAGTTTAGACATATTTAAATGTTTGTATTAAAAATGTTTAGTTAAAGCCTAAAATATTATGATAGACTATAGATTTAAAATTTACAAATTTTCAAATAAATTTACAACATTCTATAAAATATTAAACTAATTCAAATAAATTAATTTAATAACAAGTTCATTACTTTGAATGGGAAGAAAATACCAATATAATTTTATATTAATTGTTTTATTAAAAATGCAATAATACGTTGGTTCTAGACATTAAGAAGTTCCAATATGGCAATATATGAAGTTCACACTGTGAATACATAACTAAATCAACATTAAATTTTGTAAAAAATTTAAATTATTCAATACAATTTCGGTAAAGTTTTATCTTGGAAAAAAAATATAATTATTCAATTTCATAAATATGAATATATTATAAATATACTCAACATTTTCTAGCAATAGTAAAAATTCATTATATTATTCTCAATATCACCAATAAATTGCATACAGCATGATGTTGTGGTTTAATAGTTTAAAAGTAAACCAAAACAATAAATAAAATGTATATATAAATAATATTAAACTTAAATAAAAAATCATAGATAGCAGATAGTACATAAAATGCTGAACTCTAAAGGTCAAGTAACACAGGTCCATTTTAACAAAACGAAAAATTATATTCTTAAAAATATTAATAAATCTAAAATAATAAGACTAATATAGTAACAAAATTTAAATGTATTAATTTATTTTTTAACATTTTTGTTTGATCTTTATTTAATACTCTAATATTATTAATTATAGTTGTTTGTTTTTTTTCACCAAATTAAAACCTAATCATTTTATTGTTTATATCCTTAAGACACGGATAAAATTTCTAATTAACGTTCTATCGAAATTGGCCTTGAAAATATTTATAATTTATAGGACATTGCACCAGTAATAACCAGAACCCAAAACACCCTTA